TGGTGGTTAAAAGCGTGGGCTTTGGACACAGCTGATCTGGATTTGAGTTCTGGGTCTGACACTTAAAACCTGTGAGACCAGCCAGACGTGATGGTTCAAAGCCTGTAATCCCAGCACTTTGGGAGGCCAAGGTGGGAAGATTGTTTGAGGCCAACAGTTTGAGACTAGCCTGGGCAACACAGTGAGATCCCATCTCTACAAAAAAATTAAGAAAATATTAGGCAGGTGTGGGGGTGCACAACTGTAGTCCTAGCTACTCAGGAGGCTGAGCCAGGAGGATCTCTTGAGCCCTGGAGTTTAAGGCTGCAGTGAGCTATAAATGGGTCACTGCACTCCGGTTTGGGTGACAGAGCAAGACTCTGTCTCTTAAAATATTAAAAACAAAAACAAAAACCTGTGAGACCTTGGGAGGTGACTTAGCCTCCCCGAGGTTCCAATTCCTCTTCTGTAAAACAGGGTTTGACAATAGAACATGGTGCAGCCATTTGGGAAAACAGTTTAGCAGTTTCTTAAAAAGTTAAACATAAATTTACCATATGCCCCAGCCATTCCATTCCTAGGTAACCACCCAAGAGAAATGAAAACATGTGTCCACACAAAGACTTGCACATAAATGTGCTTAGCAGCATTAGTCATCATCACCAAAAATGGAAAGAATATCATCAACTGGCGATGGATAAACAAAAGGGGGTCAGTCCATACACTGGAATACTACACGGCAATGAAAAGGGGGGCACAGGTACATGCTACAGCCTGGGCGAACCCTGAGAGTAGTATTCTAAATGAAAGAAGCCAATCATGAAAGTTCATACGTTGTATGACTCCATGTAAATTAAATGTCCGGAAAAGACAAATATATATAGAGAGGCAGAGACTAGATGAGTAGCTGCCCGGAGCCAGGGCTGCAGGTGGAAACTGGGAGTCATTGCAAATGGGCAGGAGGCTTCTTTTGGGGGCGCTGGAAATGTTTTAAAACTAGATTGTGACGGATGCACAACTTCATAAATGTACTGAAAATCATTGAATTGTACACTTAAAATGGGCAAACTGTATCATGTGTAAATTAAACCCCAAGCTGTTTTTTTTTAGTAGGGTTTGATTTTCTAACTTCAGAGGATTAACTGAGAGAACACACGTAAGACAGGCTGCCTGGCACAAAGTAAGTCCCTGATAAATAATGATGATGATGACAATAAAAATATATAATCATAAAATAGATTATGTAAATATAGAAAACAACAATTTATACCACTTATAAAGTTCTTACTATACCACTTCAATATTTATCAATGCAATTTAACACCCCCTCCCAACCACTTTATGAGGCAGGTGTATTACCACCCTCATTTTTGCAGATGGGGAAACTGAGGCACCAAGAAGTGAAGTGGCTTTCCCAAGCTTGCGCAGCTAGGAAGTGGCGGAGCCGGGGTTTGAATCCTGGAGGAGGAGCTGCAGAGAACTTGCAGCCTCCAGGCCACGTGTGGCCCCTCGAGTCCCCAAATGCGGCCCCTTGACAGAATCCAAACTTCACAGAACACATCCCTTTATTTTGGCTCTGGAAAATCTGGATTCCGTCTAAAGGCCACACTCAAGGATCCAGAAGGCCGCACGTGGCCCCGAGGCCGCAGGTTGCCCGACCTCTTAGCCGTGAGGCCACAGTGCCACTCGGTAAATGGCATATGCCCGGAGCTGCTGCTCTACCTGGGGCTGCGGTCGGGGTACAGAAAGGCTCACGGACCGCTCCCCAGCGGAGCTCACGCCAGGCCCCAACCTGAAGAGTTATAAGTGTTAGCCAGGGGAAGAGTGTTCCGGACGGAGGGAACCGCACATGCAAAGGTGTGGAGGTCAGAGGACACAGGGCGCATGGGGTGGGGGGGCTGGGAGAAGCTGGGGCAGTGAGGGTGGGGCTCCCGCAGGTCCCCGGGCACGGCCATTAGCCTAAAGGCAGTGCAGGGCCAGAGGAGGAAATTCAGTGCGCTCCCAGCCTGCCTTTCTCGGGGAACAGCTCACATTCCCCAGGCAGGTGGGGGAGGTTGACTCAGAGGCTGCTGGGAGCTTAGGGGAGCGGGGGAGCTGGCACCCCACGCTCCCACCCCACTGTGAGCTAACACCCCGGCAGCCTCCCCAACGCCAGCTCCACCAGCCAGCAGAAGCTGTTCCCAGCCAGCTGGGGGCAGTGGGCTCTGTCACGCTGCCAGGAGGCTTGGCACAGACAGCCCAGCGAGATCAAGGGCTGACGGATGGCAGCCTCCCACCCCCACCCAAACCCAGCCACCTGCGGACCCCAGGGACACCTCTCCCCTGACCCCCACAGCCTGCCACAGAGCACAGTGCTCTGGCCCCGACACCCTCATTTGGCTGTCCCCAGAGGTGGAGGACCCGCCCATGGGGTCTGGCACTTTCCTCATTCAAATTTAATACCTTTCCATCCATCTCTCCCATTTTTCCACATCTGTTCTAGGTAAACATTTGCAAATGTGCACAAAACATTGTGGCAAAAGCAAAACTACTGGGAAAAAAAAAACCTACATCAATAAAGAAGGAGATAAAAAAAATGTTGGTGAATCTGTACTATGAAATACTACACAGCAGTTAAAAAGAATGATGCAGATCTGTTGCACTCTATATCTGGCATGAAAATATCTCCAAGATATACCATTGGATAAAACAAAAAGGAAATTGCAGAATAATATATCCAGGATGTCATCACTTATGTAAAATCTTTTTTAAAAAATTTGACTCTATATTTCTCTATAAGTAAATGAGAAAAATGCCTGGAAGGAAACACATCAATCTAACGATAGTAATGAAAGAATGAAAGGAGGGAGGGGACTTTCTTCTTTGTGCACTTCTCTGTTGCTTGCTTTTTACAGGAAGAACGTGACAGTGCATACCTGGGTTCTTAAAAACATTCAAGTCTGTAAAAAAAAAAAAATGCACACACACAAAGAAAAAGTGTGTTAAAATTATCACTGGGTTGGCGCAGGGCTCGGGGTAACCTTTCAAAGAGGGGTCACACCCAGAATCTTGTCTAATTCCTGCTGCATCCTTTTGAGGGCAGGTGTTCAAAGCCCCATTTCACAGGTTAAAACGTTGGACCCAGAGAGGTGAAGCAAGCTGCTCAAGGTCACAGGCAGGGCTGCAGGGCACTGGTCCCTGAGACTCCGAGTCCAGTGCTCTTTGTGGCTAGCGAGGGGTGGGGTCCGGGGAGGGGGCTGGGGAGGCACCGTCCTCCAGGGGATGTTCTGAAGCTGCACAAACTGCTCACGGGAGCCTCTGAAAGCCCCCCAGGGAGGGGAGATGGGGCTCCGTCAGGGAAGAAGGGAGTAAACGGTGAGGGATGAGAGAAAAGCCGATGAACCGCCGCCCCCGGAAAAAATTAGACATCATGATGAGCCACCCACTGAGTGGGACGGGGCTGCCACGTCACTCGGCAAGCCACACGTGGGAGGGAGCTCTGCGGGGCCGTGTCCCCGAGCATGAGATTTCACGCCTGTCTCACGGGGCTCTCGGTGGAGCTGCTTCCAACAGTGTGGGGCCAGGTGCCCTTCTGCCCACGTGCTGGAGCCCCTGTGACCAGCGTGGGAACGGAGTCGTGCCTCTCCCATGGTTCTAGAACCTGAAGAGCCGAGAGAACAGAACCCAGCCCCCTCTCGTGCCACCACCACTCAGTTCTTCCAATGGCTGCTTCAGCGCCAAGAGTCTGGAGGGCGAGCGGAGGGACCCAGGAAACGCGGTTGGGCCTCTCCAGGGACAGCCGGGAGGGCTCAGCAGGCAGGGACCGGGGACCGGCCCGAGGCTGCACAGCAAGCAGTCACAGCCCCCTCGAAACACGCCCAGAGAAGAGGCTTAGGTTAAACCGCGGATTCTCCACCCATTCTCACCACGGGAAACAAACCCACAAGGCCACGAGGACAGTGACAAGAGCCTGGATGCTCGGGGTTCTAATCCTGCTCTGCTACTTTGGCCAAGGTTCTGGACCTTTGTGAGTCTCAGTTTCCCCATCTGAAAAATGGGTGTCATTACACATGGCTCAGATCATGATATCTGGGTCATGGGACACATCATAATAAGATAACTAAATAAAAGATAACAAGTACAGCGTATCCATCAAAAATGGAAAGGTAAGATTATATAAATGTGTATACGTGTTTGTTTATATTTATTTCTTCATTTACTTTATAGAGTGAAAATGTCCCAGACAACATTATGTATATTTCTCTATGTTTTCAAATGTTATGGGCATCCTAGGATAATATAAACATAATGAAATAAAATATAGTAATAATATAATAAAATATTAATAACCATTTAGCAAGAGGGACCACGTCCAAGAACTTCACAGTGATTATCTAATTTAATGTTCACATCAAGCCCTTATTAGCTCCATCTTACAGAGGTAGCAACTAAGTACAGGGAGCCAAAGGGATTTTTCTGCATGTCAGAGTCACGCAGGAAACGGACAAAGCCAGTTTTAGACCCAGGTAGTCTCGCTTCAGTGTCTAGGCCCTTAGATGGTGGAGAGCCCTCCCCACCATTTATGCCTGCAGCGAAGGCTAAATAAGGTGGGCCCGCATACCCACAGTGGGGTCTGGCCCAGGGAAGGGGATTAAGAAATGCAAAATCCTATAAATATTGAGCTCCTGGAGAGGAGACATCAGATCCAACTTGTTCACCGCTGTATCTAGAATATTCTTGTGCAAGGAGTAGGCTGTCAGTAAATACTTGTGGGAGAGAAGGAAAATTATTATGGTCTTCGTTAGCCAAAGGCTGGAATTCTTGTTTTCAACAATAACAACAACAACAAAAAGCCTAAGACAAATTCATCAAAGGCTTTTAGGAACATCCACTTTCCTAGATGTGAGGGGCCGCGGAACTTGGAGCGGGTCTGCACGCTCGCGTTGTCCACACCGCTACGGCGCGAACCCGCAATCCAGACCCTGAGCAGGAGGCTCGGAGGCCCGGGCAGCTACGGCCGCCAGGGCACGGAAGGCGCCTACCTTCCTCGGCGTCGTTCCGCAGCGAGGCCTCCAGCAGGGCCACGCTGGCCTCGAAGGACACCTTCTTGCGGCGGCCGCCCGCGCTGCGCTTCCGCTCGTGCTTGCGCTTGCGGTGCTGCAGGTCCTGCTCGTACTGCGCCCACTTCTTCAGCTGCTGGGCCCGGCGCTTCTGGGCGGCTCGCAGCCGCTCCAGCGTGGGCACCTTCTCCAGCAGCTGCAGCTCCGTCAGCAGGTCCACGTGGCTGGCCATGGCCACCGCGCCTCCCCGCGCCCTAGCTGGGGGCTAGCACGGCGCGCCAGGGGCCAGGGGACCGCGCGGGCTCCTGTGGGGCTGGGGCCTCATGGTGGCACCTGCGGCAGGAAGAGAGACACAGACGGACACACGTGTCAGGCTGGAAAAGTCAGATCTGACTGTGTCACCCCCACACCCCAGGCTCAAAACCCTTTCGAGGTTATCTTCCCATTGCTCCTCAGACAAAAGTGCAAACCCTTACAGGGGCCTTTGAGTACCAGCAAGGGCTGGTTGTGCCGTCTAATGCAGCAATCAGCGGCCACACGTGGCCATTTGATTTTTTTTTTTTTTTTTTTTTGAGACAGGATTTTGCTCTGTCACCCAGGCTGGAGGGCAGTGGTGCAATTAGAGCTCACTGTAACTTCAAACTCCTGTCCCAATTGCGCCTCCTGCCTCAGCCTCCTGAGTAGCTGGGACTACAGGTGCATGCCACCAGGCCCAGCAAATTTTTAAAAATATTTGTTAAAGAAGGGGTCTCGCTATGTTGCCCAGGCTGGTCTCAAACTCCTGGCCACAATCGATCCTCCTACTTTAGCCTCCCAAAGTGCAGGGTTTACAAGCATGAGCCATCATGCCTGGCCACTATTTGAATTTAAATTAATTAAAATATAGTAAAACAATTCAGTTCCTCAGCCACACTAGCCACATTTCAAGTGCCACATGCTTCATACTGGACAGTGCAGACAGAGAACTTTCCCAGCATTGCAGAAAGTTCTACTGGACAGTGGTGGCTGTCTGCCCCTCCAGCCACAGACTGCTAACGGGAACCATGCCCTTCCAGCTTTCTCATATACAGCCATTGCATTAATACTTCAAGGATTTTGGCATGTGGGTGCTGGAACCAGGAGGGACACCAGGAGCTCAGAACGTGATGGGGGCTGGCAAACCGAGAAAATATGGAGACTTCACTAGCATCCAAATAGAAGCAAAGCCAAGCCCTCAGAAATATGAATACCTGACACTTCTGCTCAAGCCTCTTTTGGTCTGCTCATTATGGGATGCATGTTGTTACGGAGACGGGAGGGACAGGACTAGAAAGAGACCAGAAGATATGTTTAGGTCATTAAACATGAAATGTCCGATTTTTGAATCAAAAGTGTAGTTTATTATATCTCAAACAAGAAGCAGTACAATTAATCAAAGTATGCACCTAAACTATTGTTAAGTTTTGCCATCTTAACGGTAGCTTGTTTATGCCAGCAGCAAAGGAGCCTGGAGAGTGGCAATGAAATTGAGAAAGCCATTTTGCATAGCTCGTTGAGAATTGAACATTTTTCCTTGCAAGAAGTGGTGCAAAGCCTGGAAGGAGTGGTAGTCAGTTGGTGCAAGGTCTGGTGAGTATGGTGGGAGACAGAGAGTTTCCAAGTCCAGCTTCTGTAGTTTGAGCAGTGATGTTTGTGTGACATGTGGTTGACTGTTGTCTTGCAAGAGGATTGACCTGTCTCTATTGACCAATCTCAGCTGCTTCATTATAAGCATACTCATCATTTTGTCCAATTGGTTGCAGTAGACATCCACTGTAATCGACTGACCAGGTTTCATGAAGCTGTAATGGATAATACCGGCGCTGGACCACCAAACAGACACCGTTAGCTTTTCTTGATGAATATTCGGTTTTGGACTGTGTTTTGTCACTTCATCTTTATCCACCCATCGTGCCAGATGCTTTCGATTGTCAAAAAGAATCTATTTTCATCACAGGTAATAATACAGTGTAGAAATGGTTCACCTTTATGTCGTGACAGCAAAGAAAAGCAACCTTCAAGAAGATTTCTCTTCTGATGCTCGTTTACTTCATGCAGAACCCATCTATCCAGCTTCTTTGCCTTGCCGATTTGTTTCAAATGGTCCAATATTGTGGGAATAGTAACATCAAATCATGCTGCTAATTCACACGTAGGTGGATTCACTTCCACTATAGCTTTCAGCTCAATGTTATCCACCTTGGTCTCAGGTTGCCCACATGGCTCATTTTCAAGATTAAAATCACCAGAATGGAACTTCTCAAACCATCAACGTACTGTGCATTCATTAGCCACATCCTTCCCAAACATTTGGCTGATATTTTGAGCTGTGTGCACTGCATTGATTCCACGACAGAACTCATATTTGAAAATAACATGAATTTTTGACTTACCCATGATTTCACAAAAATTGCTCTAAAAAGAATTAGAAAGATAATCACAAGCCAAAACATGTGTTTGCAAGACTGAGGATGCGTCTTCACAGTAGAAATAAAACAAGAAATATCAAAGTGAAATGTCAGAAATATCAATTGTCAAACTTAGTACTTAAGGAAATTGGACATTTAATATATTATTGCAGTGGTTCTCAACATGTGGTCTGGGAACACTTAAGGGGATCCCTGAGACTCTTCCAAGAAGTCTACAAGCTCAAAATTATTTTCATAACTATACTAAGATACTATTAACCTTTTCCACTCTCCTTATCTCCCAAGTAAGTATACATTGGGTTCCAAAGTTACATGACAGCTGTTATTGTAACAGATTAAATGCAGAAATATATATGAGAACCCAGCTAGGAAGCCCCCCAAAAAAGAGATTTGCAAAATTTTAAAATGCTGCTTTTCTCACTAGATTTTTTTTGTTTTTGAAAAGTTATTTTTTATCAAAATGTTATATATTTTTATGTAAATGTTATATTTTCATAATAGTCTAATAAAAATATGATGCTATATTGTTATACCATATCATGGGTTTATTGTTTTTTAAAGAAATTAATACTATTTTTTAATTTCTCAGTATATATTTACAATATGATAAAGATTGCCAGACATCATCCACATACACAGCAGGTCTTTGGGATCCTTGATTTAAGAAGATAAAAAGATCCTAAGACCAAAAAGTTTAAAAACCGCTGAACAACTACAGGACCTAGAAAATCTTAGTTGAAGTTTCCTTCTTTGTATGACTTTAAAAAAGAAAATAAATAAATAACTACACCTCTTGCTGTCATGAGTCCTTTTTTTTTTTTTTTTTTTTGAGAAGGAAAGAGTGTTTATTAATTTGCCAGCAAATGAGGAGGTTGGCAGACTCCCATCTCAAAGTTCCAACGACTTGCCTCTGAGCAGAAGTACAGAGCTTTTAAAGCTTCTGATTGGCTGGGTGTGGTGGCTCACACCTGTAGTCCTAGCACTCTGGGAAGCTGAGGCAGGAGGATCATTTGAGCTCAGGAGTTTGAGACCAGCCTCAGCAAGAGCGAGACTCCGTCTCCACTAAAAAAAATTAGCTGAACAACTAAAAAATATATATATATATATATATATATACACACACACATATATATAAATTAGCAGAGCATGGTGGTGCATACCCATAGTCCCAGCTACTCGGGAGGCGGAGGCAGGAGGACAGCCTGAGCCCAGGAATTTGAGGTTGCTGTGAGTTAGGCTGACACCAGGGCACTCTAGCCTGGGCAACCCTCATGAGTCTTGAACAACATGAGGTCAACAAAATTTCAGAGTCTGAACCCAGCTGGTCTTCATGTCACGCGGACCTTATGGTTTCTCTGCTCACAGGGAAAAGGGTTTGGGACAATTACTTGAATCCCTGTTTTCCTGCTGCAAAATGTTCTATCTGCCTCCCAGAAGTTATGGGCAGGGCGTTCAAGGAATAAAAAGACCTGGTCAAAAAAGTTAAACACCTAATAGCAATGAAATCCAAGAAGAAGAGATGGGGAATGCAAATGCACTTCATGTGCCAGCCAACAGACGAGGCTGGTGGCAGGTTGTTAGGTCACAGGGACAGATTGGCAAGGGTCTACATCTGCGTCATGTGGAAATGCTTGCTATCTCAAAGGGGCAGGTTATCCCAGGGCTTAGGAAAGCCTTGTGACTCTCCCGAGTCCCGTTCCACGCTGCCCCTCCAAATGCCCCTCCTCCTGAGGCTACAGACCTCAGGGGCTCAGGTTGGCTCAGACTGCTCTTCAGGCCTCTCCCAGCTCTGAGACGGGACAGTAAACAGGCAGAATGTGGAGGGGCTGGCTTGGAAATGCTCAAAGGGCAAAGATCCCAGGGTTCTAAGTGGGTCCCACCTCCATGTAAATAAGCCAAAGGCAAGGCTGCAGAGGAAACAAGCTCACTGGCTTTGGTTGCCTTTGGTTTGGTTTTGACTTCCGTTTTGAATACCTTGCAAAGCATTTTAAATTAATTAATTAAACTTTGTATTTTGAGATCATTATAGGTTCACATGCAGTTGTAACAAATAATACAGAGAGATCCCATGTACCCAGTTTATCCTGATGGTAGCATCTTGAACACTACTGTACAATATCACAGCCGGGAACCTAACATGGATACAATCTACCAACCTTATTGGGATTTCTCCAGTTTTACATGTGCTTATTTGGATGTATGGGTTTTGTTTTATGCGATTTTATGAATGTATCCACCAGCACAGTCAAGATACAGTTCCCGCACCACAAGCATCCCTCATGCGCCCCTGTTACAGCCACACCCATCTCCTTCCCTAAGCACCCCCTCCAGCCCACTTCTGTCCCTGCCTTGGCAATTACTAATCTGTTCCCCACCTCTACGATTTTTCTCATTTCAAAATACGGTATGTAAAAAGAATCAGATATCAAGGAACCTATGGGATTGGCTTTTTTTCATGCAGCATCAATCCTTTGAGATTCATCCAAATTGTTGCATGTGTCAATAATAGTTCATCCCCTCTTGCTGCTGAGCAATATTCCAGCTTACGGACAGCCCCGGTTTGTTTAACCATTCACCCACTGAAGAACATCTGTGTCGCTTCCAGTCTGGGGCTATTACATTCATCTACAGGTTTTTGTGTGAACATAAGGTTTTGTTTCTTAGGGGTAAATGCCCAAGAGTATAACTGATGGGTCATATGGTAATTGCATGTTTAGTTTTAAGAGAAACTGCCAAACTTTTCTCCAGGGTGGCTGGCTGTACCAGTTTTCATTCCCTCCAGCAACGAATGAGTGATCCAGTTCTTCAGTGAGCATTTGGTGTTGTCATTGCTTTCTATTTTAGCCATTTAGGTATTCTGGTGGCTTTTTTAGAAGTGAGGAGTTC